GCTGTTATCAGCTGGTGAATCAGCAGCAAAGAATGCAATTTTAATACCAAGCCAGTTCAGTTGATAAGAATACTGCCACGCCAGTACACCTAACTACGAATTCTGCCATGCCATTGCAGTTTACTAGTAATACTGCCCGCTCAGTAGAGGTCACTAGGAATACTGTCAGGCAAGTGCACTTCACTAGGAATACTGCCAAGCCAGTGTAATGCTGTAGAATAATGACAGGAAAATGGCAGTGCACTAGGAATACTGCCAGACCAGAACACTTAATTAGAAATACTGTCAAGCCAGTGAAGTTCACTAGGAACACTGTTAGTATACTGATGTCCACTAGGAATACTGCCAGACCAGTGCACTTCATTAGGAATAGTGCCAGGCCAGTGTATTTAACTAGGAATCCTACCAGGCCAGTGCAGTTTATTAGGAAAACAGCTAGAGCAATTCACTACATTGCGAATAGGCCAGATCAGCGAATTTCGCTAGAAATACAACAGAGTACTTCATTAGGAATACTGATGTGCGTGTGTAGTTCACTAGGAATAATACTATGCAAATTCAGTTCACTATGAGTAATGCCAGGCCAGTGCATTTCACTATGAATACTTCCAGGTTAGAAAACTTCGCAAACATACAGCCTGGCAAGTGCACATCACTGTGAATACTGACAGGCCAGTGCGCTTCACTAGGAATACTGCTGTGGCAGTGAAGGTCACTAGAAAACTGCCAGGCCAGTGCAGTTCATTAGGAAGACTGCCAGGCAACATCAGTTCGCTAGTAATACTGCGAGGCCAGTGCAGTTCACTAAGAATACCGCCGGGCCAGTGCAGTTCACTAGGAATACTGCCCTGCCAGTGGAGTTCACTTGAAAACTGCCAGGCCAGTGTATTTCAGTAGGAATACTGCAAGGCAAGTGCATTTCCCTAAGGTTACAGACATTCCAGTTGACTTCTTTAGTTAAACTGCAAGGCCAGTGCTGTTCACTATGAATACAGCCAGGCTTGTGCATTTCATTAGGAATACCTGCTGCCAAAGCAGTTCACTAGGAGTTAATGTCAGGCAAGCGCTATATTCTAGATATACTGAAAAGTTTGTACAGGTCACTAGGAACACTGGCAGGCCGGTGCAGTTTTACTAGGAATTCTGCCAGGCACGTTCAGTTCACTAGGAATACTGCCAGGTCAGTTCATTTCACTAGGAATATTATTAGGCGAGTGAATTTCACTACGCATCAGTAGAAATTAGTGTATGACCATTGTATAACACCAATAAAATTATTTAGTAGCCTTTCCCTAATTTCAAGTGGATAAGTCGCAACAGATCCGTAGTTAAATTTACTGAAACGAACAGTTTAAAATGCTCCAATTTTAGAAAACGACGTTCGGGAGCACACATTTTTTGTTAAGGTCTGATCACAATATGTGTCTTCACTTCCTCCGCCCTTCATCAGGATGAATCTCTCCTCAGAGTTTCCTCCAGTCTGCAGAGTTTCATCCACTTCGTCCAGGAGAGTCTAACCTTAATCTATAGATCTTCGAAGAGTATCTATGACGTTTCCAACCGATCATTCTTTTTGCCGATTCTTAAATTTTTGTGATACTTTAGGCTTTTAGAGTTTTATGTTCTAACTCTCCATGGCCATGATTTTATGAATAAGAAGTCCTTTGCAGTAATGAAATGCAGGCTATTTGCTCGAGTGGCCTGAGTGCTGAGGAGTCTAATAAGAAAATTTCTTGGTAGGGTCCAGGTTCCACGTGTCGGCTCAAGCCAGTGTTTGAGGAACAACCGGTAATGTCTTCATATGTTTAGCGAAAAAGTAACATGAACATTTAATTTTCTGCCTTTTAATGGACAGGCTATGCATGATACAAAACATGACATATCCATAGCTATTACATATTATCACCTTTCCCGTGTTTTAGTACATGGGTCTAAATAAATACCTCGATCAAGATAGATCACGAACCATTTCATTCGAGGTTCTAAGTCATTTTTCCTTCACGTGTCACTGCAAGCCTCTTGTATCCTTCCTGCACATCGCTCTTAAGGCAGAGATTGAAACTGAACACGGTGTGACGAAAAACAACAGGTCGTTAAAAGCAAGCAAACGAAACTTCAAGAGTTTACGTTATTCAATTTTTCTATTTCATAGAACACATTTTATTACAAATACGGCTTCATACACACACTTACTGAGAAATAACATTTGAAATTTCGTTCATTTTACTAATATTTCTTGGGTAAATTGGAACAATGCGATATTAATTTTGACCTGGTTACAACAGTTCATCCTAAAACTTTATATTAAACGAAAGTTACGCCAAAACTGGCTCATTACAGGGCAATGTCAGAGAGTCAGTATTTTTAAAATATTTAATAGATAAAAAAAGTAAAATTGAAAATATCCTTCTGAGGAAAGGGCACTAAGTCACGGAGTGACACGTGCCCTTTGGGTTTTGACCATTGACCTTAAACCCCAAAAATAAAGAATTATATCTACAGGAGTACCAAATTTTCCAAATAATTAAGATTTTTCCAAAATATTTACAAAAAAACAATTTTTTTATATTATTGAAATTTTTTTTTAATTTAAAAATTCTGGTACTCCTGTAGCTATTTACCTTAACAATTTCCCTTTTCCGTAAGAAATTTCCGTTCCCCCCCCCCCCCCCCCAAAAAAACAAACAAAAATGGCGAAAAATTCGCAATAGTCAATGAGCATATTACATTTATGATTACTACCGCTTATTTGGAGTCAGTGACCTTGTTTCCATAATCTTGAATGACCTTGAAAACAAAAACTAGAGAAAATAAATATGTGACAGTATGCATATTATATTACTGTCTACTGCCACTATCTTGGAAGTTAATGACATTGACCTTGAACACATAACCATGAATTATCTGAAAACCAAAACTAGAGGAAAAATCCATAGTATTCTGCAATCATATTATGTTACCGATTCCAACCACCATATTGGATGCATGTGCCTTTTAACATCGACACCAAGACCTTAAACCACAAAAATAACAATTCAAAAAATTCCAGAAAATATTACAAAAATTTAACATTTATGAAAATCTTGTTTGCTCATCAATCTTGCCAACAATTAGCGCCACAATCACAATCAGCCCTAAAACGGTATTCAGCTCCACAATCAGCACCACATCCAGCATAACAATGGCCAACGTCCCATCACTTTATAGCAATCCTCCTCTTCAATAGCATATATCCTCCTCGATCTTTAAAAATCCTCACTCTAAATCGGAATTTTTCCTTCAATATTTAACAACACATTTTCGAATAATCCCCATCTCATTGCTTAACAATCAAAATCCTCAGTATGTCTACAAGTTTTTCGGGTTTTCGGTAAACATGCAGCCGGTGTTCTGTTTGTCTTCTGCCTTTTTCGCATCACTTGTCGAAGGAAACTTGCTGGTCAAAAGTGAGGCAACGTTGAGGGAATCATCATCGTCTTCAAGACTATCACAGTATTGATATTACTTTTCATCAACGCTGTCTTCATGACCGTCTTCAATTCAAGCTTCATCATAAACACCATGTTTACTTTACTTTGTAGGAGTCAAATGGTGATTGTCATTATTTAGAGCCGACTTCCATTTATTTTTAAGTTTGTGGACTTGACGCGTATACCTTACAATCGTACATTATGCGCAAACCGACACTAATGCAATCATATCATATTTTACATTAATTGGCTCATCTTAATCACCTGTCGAATCGGTACTCATCGACACAACAAGGGTTATTGCCGGCAACACTTGCTGAATCACAGTTGACGACTCTTTGCAGATCTCGGTATGATGTTTCAATGTATCGCCATGCACAAACTGAATGGGACCAATGAGGAAATGGTTGATCATGCGAAAATGTATCCTTGTACAGCCTGTTCTGTTCTTTCGTGCTGATGAGCATTTTATCCATAGGCGAAAAGTCGATCACAGAATCGGCCCTGGCGACTACCAGGTAGCGATGATACAGGTTGCGGCTACAGGTTGAGATTGCATTTTCATATCATATTCAGGGTATGACGAGTGAGTGCTTCCAAAGCGATGTTCACCTCACGGTGTCGAACGTCAAGTGTATTTTTTTCTTTATAAACGGTCGGCGAGGTACTGGTAGCCCTTGCTAGTGATGAATTTCCTCATTCATGTATCTGTTTATTCCAAGTTTACACTAAGAACAGCGACACACTTAGGTACAGTCACATTAGCCTACTACCCGACCATTATTAACATGTGCCTCGTGAGCTCCTCTTAAAAACGAACACTCCCACAATAATACCAATTCATGTATCTCCTTATTTGCCAATCTATTCGTTCTAATATTATCCTTGAAACCCTCTCAACACACACCGTTACGCTCATCTGCTTGTCCACATATCTGTCCTTAATGTTTTTCAGAGTCGTAGGGAATAACCTTCTCCATTCATGTTAGGTGACGTACGGTAAATATATCTTCGCAAAGTTTATTCTTTCTGATTATTGCCTCCAAGATTATCTCTAATCAGCACAAAATACGAGAAAAATTACACTTACATCTGTTGTATAGAAAAGAAAACATTGCTATGTGAGTATATCACTGACTGTTTTCTATACTAGTTTCAAACAACAATTACCGACAAACTCTATATTTAAATGAGGAAAATTACAAAGTAGAATATGAAAATGATTCAAATAGCGCCACCATGTTTAACATGTTATCAACAAGTACAAAACTGAACATTTAATGGTGGAAGGTTAAGAGTACGATTCTGTAAGATTTCTCAGGTTTTTCTTACATTCACTATGTGTATCATTTCACGGCTATCAGCAAACATAAATGTAATATTCTGTGTGTTGGTATTGTGACACTTTAATAAAACTTTTGATGATATTAATATATTAAGAATTTGAATTTTAACATGTGGAAAAAGTGAGAACAGTTCTATTGTCCACAGATTCTAACGTTCTTTTCGGTTACTCAAAAAAGAACTTACTTCTTGCACCGGGAAACGAACCCAGGCCTCCTTGACGAGAACCTGTTATCCTAGCCACTAGACCATACCGGACTTACAAGTATTGTTAACTCAAAGCTTGTCACACTGGAAATGTTTTGAAGAGAGAGAAAAATTGTCAAGTTAACTTTTTTTTGTAAAATTATAATTTAGGCTGTCTAGTCATTATATGCGTAGGTCCCTATCTTTATATGATTTTTGTGGTACGGGGGAAAAGGTTTTTGAGGAGGGAGGGTGGGAAATGAACCTTTTAGGGTGCAGTTTGTATTTTGTATCATGATAATGTAACTAATATTACAGGAGATATTTGTGAAGCTGCTAATGCCTCTAAGGAAATGAAACATTAAAATAAATTTAAAATATACATATTATCAAATACATTTCAGAAAGCGCAACAAACAAATGATGCTTAGCAAAATAAAAGTTTAAGAAGTTTTTCATAGGAACAAAAATTGTCCTTAGCGGAGATTGTATTTTTTTGACTGGATGAATAATGCTACTCCTTCATGAACAATACGAATACACACGCAATTATGTATATTTATAGCGAGTATTAAATAACCTTTTTTTACAGTAAAAGTAAATCATTTAAGTAATTATATTACTAAAGCACCAGGTTGATGCGTTGAATATTGCAAGATGTTTGACAAGTGGGCCTACGTTTCGTTATGCTTGACTCACTGATAATGTTTGCTCGGAACCTACTCCCTGAAAGGGCTAAATCCAGGGCAGACTCAAAACAGTGAACTCACAGTTAACTCAGCTGGACAAGGAAGCCCCTATCAGTTATTACTTCTGTATCTTGCTACACCTGAAACAGAGACTATCAACCTTCATATAAACACATATTCCAGCTGGCAAGCCAACCTCCTTTCTTCTGTTTGATCAGGATCTGTGTCGTTACCCACCACGTCCACCCTTCATCAGTTATGATTCCTACACCGGGTTTCCACCAACTGGCAGAGTTTCAACCATTGTCATCATGAGTCTAGTCTCAGAGGATTGGTCACTTCAGGATACCTATGACGTAGACATAAAGGTGTGGGCCGGCCCACCACCAGGTGACAACCATCAATATTGCCAATGGTTCAAGCCCGCAGCTTGGAAGGCTGATACCTGTTTTAGTAATACATACGGAACATCCGGCAGTTTCTTACTGCCACTTCATATGACAACTAGTGGCACCACAAGGAGATGTGGATTCCCATGAGCTAGTAGAGGCTATATATATATATATATATATATATATATATATATATATATATATATATATATATATATATATATATATATACATATACTTGAGGCGATTTTACTCAGTAAATTATTTTTTGTTATTCAGCTGCAAGAGCAACTACTGCCAGTCATCTGCGACTAGTTAATTGTCTCCGCCTTCCGATACTTATACATTTCACTGGCCAGTGATTTCAGTAATGCAAGCTGTTATTTCGATACTGCTGAATATCACAGATGTACCATTAGCGATTTAAGTGCTTTTCATGTGTAATTCAATTATGCCTATGTCTTGTGTTTGTGCATGACCTTAGTAATAGAAATGCGCCCGAAATCTATCATATTGCTGGTATTGCACAAACTCATGCACTAAAGTTAAAATATGTTACGAGACTTCCACTCTTTCAGGTAACCTAAGTATTCAATAGCAATTATAAATACCAAAAATAAATAAAATGCACTTCTTTTAAGTGATAACACGTCCTATATTCCATTTAGTGAAGCAATTAATTGATCATTCAATTTTATTATCAATGAGCAAAAAATCTTGCGTATTCAAGAACTACAATGATATGTGTATTCAACTACTGCAAATAAAACGTTATTCGAACATAATGTGTCTCTAAATACAAAGCGTCTGTACTTAATTTTCCGATTCTTGAACTCTTATAATTACATGTTGAACGAAAAACCGAGTCATGAATTTTGATCACAACAGTGACAAAGGAATACATTCTTTCAGGGTCTATTTCCAAACCAGAAAATTCCACTCAAGCTGAATGAAAGAATATTCTTGTAAAGATTTTGTAACGTTACAAAGTTCTAAAGCTAACTTAAAAAAATGACATCTACCCGTATACATTCAGGAGTGTGATGTGCGAGTTGAAAGTCAGCTAATTAACATGATGTAGTTTAAATCCAAGAAATTGGTAGAAGTCCAGCAAGAACCCAAAACGCAAATAAGTCTAAAATGTGCCGTTAACCCACACTTGCAATACGGAATGATAGAATCCTTTCAACCCTTATATAAACATCATAGGATAAAAATATTTTTTTCTGCAGCGAAAACCATTTAAGCAATATCAGTACTGTGTAGGATATATTAGAACGCGCATGGATGAAAAATTGGCATCAAATAATAGATATGCAAAAAAATTGTATGCTAATGTTACCTACAATTATACTTGATATCCAAGTATCAATAAAATATATAATAAATTTTGGTTTTTATAATTTTCAAAATTATTGTACAATTTCAAGCATAAATAGTGCACAATACTTGGGAGATTTTCGTTCCATTTAAGTCACGTCTGTCATGTAAATTTTTGCGTAATATTTAAGTGCGGTGTGAATTTGTCATCAAGTAAGAGTCGTGGCCGAGCAGCGGAGGAGTTAACATCGCGTCCTGTGTGCGGAGTTCTGTCGCCACGCGCTCTTAAACGGGGGTCTGTTCCGAAGCGAGTAGTGATAGTTCTATATTAGTGTCAGTCACATCTAGGTTTGTCCAATATGTATAATGAGCGCGTGAATACCTTGCGTATCGTGTTTACCAAACGACCTTCGGCCATGGAAATACGTGAATAAATTGATACGGTTTTAACTGTAACAGAAGAACAAATTTAAGCTATGCAACTGGATGGGCATAAGTACTGTTTGTTTTTAAAACTCGTTTCTTCTGGACCACGTGAAGCGATACTGCGTCGCACCAACGGCCAGTCAATTGGTAAGAATTCTAAATTTACCTATAGAAATAGACAACCAAAAAAATTCAGACGGAGTTAGTGAAGTGTAGTCGACTTGTTACATTACAAGATGAAGCATGGAATAATAAATACAAATTCCAAGTTAAAACGGGAGCACGTATGGCAAAGATGGAAATAAAAAAAGATATTCCATCTTACATTTCAGTTGACTGCTTTCGGGCTGTAATGATATATCCCGGACAACCACGAACGTGCAGTTACTGCCAGTCTCCTACTCATGAACGAAATGCGTGCCTTAGTTTGCAAGAAAAGGACGCACGTGCAATACGCCGCTGGAGATGGATAGGGCAAGGGAAAATCTCGCAGCTGACACTCCTATACCGTCCACCCCTGACCAGCACTCTCCCCGAGCGGATTACCCGCCACTTCGCAGACGCGAGCAGCAAGGTCCAGTACAAACACCTGTCGGTGACTCATCTACTGAGCATGCGGTAAACCTCAACACCTTAGTGACCGCGCCACGCCAGATACACGTGGAGGAGGCTCAAAATACTGTTACTGGTCGCGCGGGCTACCACCATACACACAGGATGTCTCGCTGCTACACGTTCCATTGTCCTCTGCTTCATGGGTGGACAGCATGGACGTGGAGAGCGTAAACAATGCAACCACACGACGGGAGCATGTAACAACTGCGGATGAAAATATGTCCGTAAGAGAAAAGCGACCTTACGAACGCGACGCCCGGACCACAAGAGTAAGTCCTGTTCGCAAAGCGAAGGTGTTATCGCAGAGTGAACAATCACAGCTACAGGACAGGCAAAAATCTTTGGAACTAGCAAAGGCCGTTATAAACAAAATGTGTGCCTTTAGCCAAGAACGTCCTGATGACCCAACTTACTAACAATGCGACCGGCACATGTGTGCATCCTCACCTGTAAGCCCTATTACCTGCCCCCATTTTTTCTTGTCCACTTTTTTGTCCACCTTTCCGCTTCCTTCTCTCTGATACTATCACTACATTTTTTATGTAAACATGATAGAGTTATTGACAATTTAACCTTAAATAATTGTGTAGTCTCGGCCAGTGCGCGATTAGCGGAGCTAGAGACACTGATTCGAATACAGGAAATTGACATTGCATTCTTGCAAGAAGTAGCGACTCAATATTTTATAGGGTTTCATACCTTCAATGTGTATACAAACGTTGGTGATCGGGGACGGAGGACAGCGATTATTACACGTGCGAGGCTTGAACTTGAAGACCTGCGCTACCACTCGTCAGGCCGAGTGATGTCAGGACGAATAAACGATGTGTCGCTAGCCAATGTTTATGCTCCCTCTGGCTCCCAAACGAGATATGAAAGAAATCTGTTTTTCTCCGTGGATTTGATTCCATTTTTCCATCCACCATGTAATCAATTCATACTCGGTGGAGATTTCAACTGCATAGATCACCCCCATGATCATCAGGGTGGCATTTAACCTACTAACGCTGCCTTATCTACTTTAATAACTCGCTTAGACTTGTGTGTTGTTGCATATAACTTCCAATGAATTCATTACACCTATGTGACTTCACAGAGTTGGTCTAGGATTGACCAATTCTACGTCAAAAAACCGCATATACATAAGGTGCATCGATATGACGTTCTTCTGTAGGCTTTCAGCGATCACTCTGCAGTGATGTTTACGTATGGAATGTTTGCGAATGTAACACGCTTTGGCAGAGGGACACGGCGTCCAAATACGTCTTTATTAGACAGCTCAGAATGAAAAGAGGACTTACTAGCAAATTGGGTACATTGGCATAGCAAGAAATACCAGTTACCCTCTGTCGTGATGTGGTGGGATGTGTGTGTAAAACCGAACGTTAAGAGAATCTTTAAAATGCATGCGTACCGACTGGCAGAAGAACGTAGGGGAACACGTGCATTCTACGAACGTATGCTACACGAACTTCACCTGCAGGCAAACAATGGTGCACACGTAACTACACGTATCAGAGACACGAAACAGAAGATTATTAATTTATTCAGTGAACAGTTTTAAAATCGTCATATTATGACGAATGATAAAAGTCTATTCGTAGAAGAGAAATGTACCATGTTTAGTATCAATAAGGAACAACAGCAAATACGACGCAATGTTATCAACCAGCTTACTGACAGTGATGGCGCTATTGTTCGGGATCGGCCGGAAATAGTGCAAACGCTTTACAGTTACTTTGCCAATTTATACTCGAAACAAGACACTGACGATGCACTGATGCCATCAGTTTTTGCAGAGTTGTGAAAACAGAGTTAGCTGTGACAGTAAGACGGGCATGGAGGCGCCATATTTAGATGCGGAAGTTAATATAAATACAGCAATTGCCATCAAAAAAATCTCCTGTTGTTGACGGTATTCCATACGAATTTTACAAAACTTATTAGGATATTATTGGTACCGACTTCTGCGAAGTTGTTCGCGATGTGCTTGAAAGAGGGGAGTTAAGTAAGTTTCATAAAGAATTGATAATTGCTCTTATATCCAAAATATCCCGTCCACTTAAACCCGCGGATTATAGGACAATTACACTTTTATGTGCAGATTATAAAATAATAGCTCGGTTTTGTGCGACCCGATTAACCAAGGCACTGTCAAATATTATTGGTCCCGGCCAGACATGTAATGTTCCAGGACGTTCCATTTTACAAGGCGTGCTTGCCCTAAGGACATTCAATTACTTTCGTAAATACAACACAGTAAAATGGCCATCTTTAGTATTTATATGGATAAGGCATTCAATAGAGTCGATCATAACTTTTTACTTCATATTATTCATCGTTTCGATTTTCCAGCCAATGCAGTACAGTGGGTGTGGATGGTGTGTACCGGAATTTGGTCACGGCTGTTGGTTAACGGATTCCTTACCCAACCTATTAAGATCGAGAGTTCAGTTCGACAAGGATGCTGGCTATCCATGATTTTATTTACTATCGCCGTTGAACCTCTGTGCAGAATGCTAAGTGCCCGCTTGCAAGGATTCCCAGTAGCGAACCTGTCCTTTAAATAAAATGCCTATGCTAATGAGATCACATGTGTCGTTCGTTCAGAGTGGGAAATTATAGAGACGGCAGAATGCCTGGACCTTTTTCGCAGTGTTTCTAATCTGCGAGCGAATGCTAAATACACTGCCATACTGGAGCTCAGCCTGACCAGCGAGCCATTTGATGACGTTTTTCCCTTTCGGAGGGCCGAAACTGTGAAGATATTTTGCATATACTTCCAAGCAGACGCCACTCTTATGTTGCATTATAAATGGAACATGACAATAAATAAACTCCGTGCTCGTCAAATAGAAATGAATATTAGTCGTACAAATATTATACAGATCGTTACTTTAATAAATATATTCTTATCTGCGAAGCTGTGGTATGTGTCACATATATTCCCATTACCGCGTCAACAAAGTGCACAGATACTACAGATTGTTGGCCGCATGTTGTGGAAATCTTATATATTTGAATTATCTAGGCCGCAACTTTATCTTTCCTTGCAAGACGGAGGCCTGAGTCTAATTAATCACGTTTTGAAGTGTGAGGCCTTATATCAGTCTTCAGCAATTGCAACAATTTAGCGCCCAGAGGGTATTTACGCAGCAGTACAGAAAATGATGTGGTCTGAAGTTAGACGCATGCCACTTCAATACCGTTAAGTAAAGGAAGCACTCGCAACTCTAGTAGAACACTTACCGGAAGAGACAGTAGCATGGTGAGATATTTGTACATTCGGGCTTCCAAAACATCGCCAGTCATACCATCTGTTGTGAATCGCACCCCAACCATCCGCTGGAGGCGCCCATAGAAAATACTTGCCTCTCCTAACATTTCCTCGGATCTTCGAGCTGCAACATTTGGCTTCTACAATGTTATCGTGACAACTCAGCAGCGCAAATACAGTATTCACCTGACAGCTGACCCTGAATGTCCGCCGTGTGGCAACACTGACACGGTCGTTCATAGCGTAATTACCTGTGTTTATGCAGCTCCCATATGACAGTGGTGTCCCCTACGAGTACGCTAAAATAATTCGCTATGAACGTGGAGATGTAAGCGACACGCACATGCTTCATTGCGATTTCTTCACCTTCCCCTCAGTTCGACGAAGAGCTGCGGCCTGGTTTGTACTTTTTGCGATCGGTTTTTTGGTGGACCGTTCGACACCGGTGACAGTTCAAGACTTTGTCCAGCTTCTTCGTCAAAACAGGTTGAACATGGCGCGGCGTGGCACATTGCGTCAGGGGTACGGCAATTTTTTATTTTCATTCTGACGTTTACGCACACAGGAAGTGCGTGTATATTACCGAGGTTGGGTGTTTGCCGTGCCCTGGCCCCCCTTCGGTCCTTACAAGTGTACAATTTAATGTTCGATTCGTAATCGTCGATAGGTGGTAGTTTTATAAGTCAGTGTCCCGTGTCGGGATGTACGTCGTGCGCTGCCCCTCGCGTTAAATAATTTTTTACGTGTTCATCGACTTTGTCAGTAAAACCAGTTCACCAAATGTTCATATAGTTTTGTGATCCCATGTAAGAATTGTGTAGACATTTTATTGAGTTATTTGTTATTGTTTATATTGTGCGTTGAATGTGTACAGTATACAGGTTACAGTGTACAGTATATAGGTTAAGGGTAAACGCCTTGCATATCGTTTGTGATAATAATAATAGAAAAAAGTGGCTAGGATACCTGGCTTTCACACAATAAGACCGGTTTCGGTTCCCGGTGTCGCGATGACAAATATTTTCTTTTAAGATTACGTTTGTGGTAATACTCCATGTGGGACTGTGATGGAATCATTAAAATATCAGTCTCGTATTCTGGGAGCACAGTGACATCCTAGAAACTCAATTTATTTCAATATTAATTTCCTTACGTTTCCAACAACGTGATAACTAAATAATTGTAAACAATCTTTGCATCTAATTTTAAATGTCGCTCCTGTTTGAAATGCTTTCGTCAAACATCGACTCACTATCAGCATATATTTTCTCACCACCATCTCCACCACCTCCCTCATGAGCATTATTACAAAACTGGCCTTCTGGTTGAAGACTCATCTACGCTCCAACCCCAACCCACTCATTAGATAACCACTGCACCCTATCCAAGGCCTCAGACTAGCCGTCTCATCAATCCATGTATGGATAAGTCGTCATAGTCCGAAAACACAGAACCGGGAGACCATGAAGACATTGCTGACCATCTACACGCTATCTTTACTCGTCAAGAAGACCTCCACCAGCGCAATAAGCGAGTTTATAAAAAAAATAGGATTTTGTACAGTAGGCCGTCTCCTTCCCCCCAAAGAAGTAAGGTAAAGAAATGAAATTATTATTAGCAAAATGCAAAAAAAAAAAAAAAAATTCAACAAATATAAGCCATTGTAGCATTTAATGTACATAGAAATTGAGCTACATGATTCGAAATAATAAATAACTTAAAACAATAAGTATACAATTTAAAGAAATAGGAGAACAATTATAATTAATAATGAAATGCCAACTTAAAGAAAATTCGAAGAAAATGTACATTGATAAAAACTGTGCTAAACCATTATTTGTTCCTAATACTGAAAACGCATTTAAAAGAAACTGTGATTACCTTTCAGTAAGAACATTATTCACGATTTAGAATTTAATAGATTATAACTGTATAATTGCACATGGTAGTGTATTTTACACGAGATTTCTGTGACTGCTTTCGACCATATCTGGTTCAACTGTCGAAATGGAGTACATTCTTATTAAGTACTTATGCATACGTGTATCATTTGGAAATTAAATCATTTTCAAGTCCATCATATTTTGTATTTTTTTGGATAGTGGCCGCAACAGTGACATCTAACCACATATATTATCAACGACTTAAACGTCGGACATTTACAAATTTAAATAACCTTACAGGAGATACTGCTATAATATGTGCTAGAGAACTTTTTTTTATCAAAAATAATGCCGACTTTCGAAGTGGAATTGTAAAACTTGTTCCACAGCATTGCCTCATTATGATAACGTAATAAGAATAATGGCCCTTTTGGAACAGGGAATCAAACCCGGGCCTCCTGGATGAGAGCCAGGTATCCTAGCCACGAAACCATGCCTCTGTTTAAAGCTGACTATATTGACCGATACATTTACAATTGTACTGAGCGTGTTTGTTGTTTGACAGTTTGACAGAGGGTGTGGTTGAGAGTTGACAGTGTGTTCTTGACGTATGCCTGACGCAGGACACAGCTGGACGTACACAAATTTACGCCCATGCCTTACCCGAGATTCGAACACAGAACCCCTTGCTGTAAGCCAGAACGCAATCAACGGAGGTTGGCGCATACCGGACTATGTAACGGTGCGTGCTTACCATCATACATAATTAATACTATTGAGTAAATATTTCGTTGTGTGTGGGGCAAGTGATAAATACAATTTAGTTTCTAGGATCGTCATTTATGGGTGTTTGTCTGAAGTTAGGTGGAAAAACAGATCAACATCTTTGAGTGGAATTTTGTATCCTGAATAGTTGATATATTGCCTAAACAATTAGAACGTGATGTCAGAGGTAATCGACACGTTAGGAAAGTATAAAAATAAATCAATTTTATACATGTTTTCATTTAAAACAGTGCAGCGAACATTGAGCACAATAATGGGAAGGTAGCGTGTTCTACATAGCAAGGGAAACCATTCGTAGTGGAAAGTTTATAATTACAGCTCGATGCATACAACTGCACCTTCCTAAACACTCGGGAAATACTCCTAACAATAGAAAATCTTCATGAGTTTTATAAAATTGTTTATAATAGAGTAAATAATTTAAATCATCTGTTGACTGACTTGTAAATGCAAGATGGAAGACCGTTTGCTTTTGAAGTTATCGCAAAATTATGCCCAACATCTGCTTCTGAGAGCTGTATCGAGGGACGTAACTTGGGCCTAATATAGAAGCAGAGGTAACTTCCAGGTAATACAGTCATTGCCCAGACAAGGAAGAAACAATTTGTTATTCTTGTCATTGCCCGAGAAAAAAGTTCATCAGCCTCTAGATACACTGCTGCACTCCAAATGTGAATCAGTGATTTCTATTAGTAAAATTGTTTTACTGAACCATCAGTTATGAGCTGTTATCTGATGGCGAATCAGCGGCCTGCATTGATGTTTTAATGCCAGTCAGTGCAGTTCGCTAAGAATCAGTAGAAACTAGTATTTGATTAGTGTATACCAGCAACCAAAACATCTAGAAGACTTTTTCTGTTTCAAGTGGATAAGTCGCAACAGATCTGCAGTTGGATTCGCTGAACCGGATGAGTTAAAATGGTTCGATTTTAGAGTACGACAGTGGGGAAGCCAACCTCCTTGTTTTACTGCCTGACCACGGACTGTATCGTCACTACGTCCGTCCTACATCATGGTAAATCTGTCATCTGAGTTTCCTCTAGTATGCAGAGTTTCTCCCACTGCGTCCACGAGAGTCTAACTACAATCCATAGATCTTCGAAGAGAATCACCGACGTGACCAACAGATCTTCCTGTTTGGCGATACTTCACTTTCTGTGACGCTTGAGGATTTTACAGTTTTATGTATTTACTCTACATTTCCAAGATTTTAGAATTAGAAATTCCGTCACAATAATGAAGTACAGGCTTTTCGCTTCAGCGACTTCAATACTCAGGAGTCTGATAACAAAATATTCAGTGTGGTACAGGCGTCACATGTCGGCTCAAGCCACGTGGGCACATATTCCTTCGTTGAAGTTAGAAAGCCAGTGACTTAGGAACAACCGGTAATGCCCTCATTTGTCAAGCAAAAAGGTAACATGAACAATTCGTTTGCCGGTTGTTAACGGACAACCTATTTATGATGCAAAACTTGACATATCCACAGTTAGTAAATATCACCTTCCCCGTGTTGTAATTCATGGCACTAACCAGATACCTCTTTCAAGATAGATCATGACCCTAACATCCGATGTTCTAAGCCAGTGTTTCTTCACGTATTACTGCAAACCTCTTGCATATTTCCTGCATAACACTCTTAAGGCAGAGAATGAAACAGATCACGCTCAGACGAAAAATCACAGGTTGTTGAAAGCAGGTCTACAAAACTAGAAGAGTTTTCGTAATTCAATATTTATATTTCATACACACGATTTCACTCACAAAATACGACTGCATATTCACACTTTTCAGCAGATAACATGTGAAAATTCATCAATTTTATTACTTTTTTTTTTTTTTTGGAAAATTAGATCGTTACACTATTACTTTATACTTTGTAATAACAGTTAAACATAAAACTTTACGTTACAGGTTGGTTACGCGCAAATGGCTCATTACAGGGCAATATCAAAGGAGCAGCATTTTTCATTTTCAGAAGATAAAAATAGTAAACGGGAAAATATCCTTCTGAGGAAAAGGCACAAGGGCACGGAGAGCTGGAGCTGTTCCTACTCGGTCTTTCGTATCTCCTGACGGTTCTCTTAGAAATCAGTGTCCCGTGCCCTTTGACTTTTGACCTTTGACCTTAGACCTCCGACCACAAAAATAAAAAAAAATCCAAATAGAAAACTAAATGTTCCAAAATAATTAGAAAACATTCCCAAAAACATATAAAAATATTATTATCAAAAACCATTTTAAAATTTCTGTTCACCAGCAGCCATTTACCCTAACAATTACCGTTTTTCCATTAAAAAAATTCTTTAAAAAAAATCGCAAAAAAATTCATAAAAGAAAATGAGCATACTACATTACTGACTACTACCACCTCTTGAAAGTCAATGACCAACTTGACATCATACCCTTGAATTACCTCGAAAGCAAAAATTCAAGAAAAAATCATAAAAGTCAGCAAGCATATTACTTTACTGACTGCTAAAGTTGTCCATGGTAAAAGGAGCACTTTTGAAATCATCCGTAGAAAAAATGAACTGCCCCTACCTACGTATACATATTTTAACTACCGCACTGAGTGAAATGCGACCAGTCAAGTTAGTAATCTTGGATGGGAAGTATTTATGTCTCTTAATGTCGAATAAAAAGTGTCAGGTAAACATTTCTGATAGCTTAAATTATTTATTTCGCTTTCTGTTTTTGTTAATAAATAAAAAATTAGAATTTAGGAGATTTGTAAAATATTTACTTTCTTACAATTGCACGGTTTTACAAGACCAATGTATGAATAAAGTTATGAGGCCTAAGGCAATGCTAATTTTACATAAGGTGGAATAATACACTATGTAAATACAAGTAGATCATAAGGAAGGCTTTCAAAAGTGCTATTTTTACCATGAATAGCCAATACCACCATACTGTATGCAGGTGACCTTGACCCCATAATCTTGAATGACCTTGCAAACAGAAACTCGAGAAAATTAATAAATGTCAGCATGCATATTACACTACCGACTACTGCCACCATCTTGGAAGTTAATGACCTTGACCTTGAATCCATGAACTGGAATGATCTGAAAACAAAAACTGGATAAAAATTCCACAAAAGTCTGCAAACATATTATGTTACCGATTGCTACCACCACATAGGGTGCAGGTGCCCTTTGACCTTGACCCATATTCTTAAACCCCTCCCCCAAATATTCAAAAAAATTTCAGAAAAATATTACAAAAATTAAAAATTTATGAAAGTCTAGTTTGTTCATCAATCTTTCCATCAATCGGCACCACAATCAGCTCCTAAATGGCAATCAGCACCACAATCAGGACCATAATCGAAAACTTTCCATCAATTTTTACCAATCCTCCTCTTCAATCATGTTTCTCCTCCTCGATCTTTAGCAATCCTCCTCCTCGCTCGCAATTTTTCAAACAATATTTAGCAATCCATGTTCGAGTAATTCCCATCTCTTTGCTTAGCAATCAAAATTCCGAGCATGTCTACAAGTTTATTCGGGTCTTCGGTAAACATGTAGCCGGTGATCGGCGTCCTCTGCATTCTTTGCATCACTTGTCGAAGGGAACTCGTTGGTATAATGTGAGGCAACGTTGAGGGAATCACCATCGTCTTAAAGACTATTACTACCTTCACCAGTATACGCTATCTGAAAACCATGGCAGAGCATAACGACCACATTCAGAAACTAGGGATCGCATTAACCGAATACGAATTCGAGGCCGGGATAGTCGAAAGCAAACTGAACACACTAGCGGATGCAATGAGCCGAATTCTGACAAGAGGAAACGCAGAAACGGTAGCCGTAAGAGCAAACAACAACACTTACAACATGAGGAAGGAATTATTGACATGCCAGTCGTTTTACACAGCCGTAGCCAAAATCACTATAACAAAACCCAGACAAGGCTAACGAAGTCAAACACAACATCGCAAAATGCATTACAAATCACTGGTCAGACATAAAACCGCTAATTAAACAAGAGCTCCACCCCACAGATAAACTGAACGTTGCAATGTTGATAACAAACAAAGAGTACCTACCACTACAAGCTATAGCCAAGATTTTAACAAACCTGCACCAAGTAAATATCGCAATTAATATGGAAAGACATGAAAATCGAATTAAATCCACAAGCCTCGACACCAGACTAAATTGTCAAATAATAATTACCACTAACAACAATACACCATTATACCACCCTGTATATATTCATGAACAAGACTATATAAAGATCCAGGATGACACTCATTAAATTCTCACACCACTCACACAAAAACAAACACCCACAGCCCCCTTACTAGGTGAATATGCCAAAGATCCCCACATTACACAATTATAATTGGCCCTTATAGAACCACTAAAAGCCACAGCTAAATGCCTCCGATTGGCCAGACGCTATATAATTACTGGTAATGGGGAAATTTATCTCAAATTATATACACCAGCTGGGGAAAAACGACTGACTCTGGTGCCAAAATACTACATACGTGAAATAATAACGGCATACCACGATGCCCTACTAGGCGGCGGACCTTTCGCCCAATACAAAACAATAGAAAAAAAACAATACTACTGGGATACCAAGGTAAAAGATATTAAAGAGTACATTAAGAATTGCACCACCTGCCAAAAGGTCAAACACTCGAATCAAAAACTCATTACATTTCTGGGGTTTTGATGCCAAAGGTTCTTTGCGA